AAAAACGTGCGGTAAATCCAACATCACTTGGAGTTGTCACAGAAACACATGAAAATCATCCGTAAACACACTATAGCGTATATATACTTTAGTCCATCCTGTGGTAAATGCTACTCCAAGTGTAGTTGGATTTACCGCATTTTCTTTTCCGTGGAGGCAATGTTGTCGTCAGAAGCTGCCTGGAACGCCACAAGCATTTTTGCTACATAAGTGCTTATTGAGTTGCGATCTGTTGAGAGGAAAAGAGCAAAAGACAGAATCTAGAAGGAAGATAACATCTTAGCCCCCAGAAGGAAGAGCGGCAGCTAATTCCTCCCCCCGTGAAGAAATGCCTTACGGCGGTACCATGGGGATCAGAGGATAGAAGAGAAAGGGGTTTAGGGTTTAGTGGTTAGGGGCGTCAGCGTCAAGTTTTAGTATGACGCTGTGTCGAGTCGCCACATATCCGGGCCAACATGTATGCCTAGAATCCGTAAAAAGGATTCCCCCCCCCCTAAAGGAAAAAAAAACACACACACACACACATACATACATACATACATACAGACGTACGGACATCATCGTAAAAATAGTCAGGGAAGCTTCCTGTGACCTTCAAACGTCGAGATCTGATGAAAACTCGATTTTTGTAAAACGGGGTGAAAACAATAACTTCCCGATTTTTGAAAATCTGAGATTTTTAGCGGGAAGTTAATAAAAAAAAAATTGCTTTTCGAATTACCCTATTAAACCGTAAGTATAAACAGCTAGTTTGTAAGTTTAATCCAAACTTTATTTATATACAAGCAAATTCGTTGATAAAAATGTTGACGCGATAAAAAAAATAAGAATGCGGTTATGATAATTGATGCGTCATTTAAGTCTTGTGTTTAGCAATATAGTGTTGCGGGAAATCCCATTTTGATTAAACTGTCTTATAGCTGTGTACATATATTCATTTTAGTTGTGGTGATGAATTCAAGGTAAACGTAAGACTGACGTATGACGTAAACCCGATAAAATACACGGCAAAACGTATGTAGTGGACTCACACGTTTACACATATGTAAAAATACATATACATAGATATATCTTTGATTGCGTCGTATTCAATGCAATTTCGTTTATATTTTCCTTCATTTTGCGAAACAGCTTTCGTATGTTCGCACAATTTTTAACTCTTCTATCTTTGCGGCTGTTTATTTTTGTGTAATTTTTTTTTGTTTCTTATTTCTTCTTAAATTTTTTTTTTAAGATTCAATGGTCTAATAGTTATAATTTTTCAAATTAATGTAGATGAAATTAATTTTTAAATGTTTTCTTCATCTATTCATCAATAAAAATTCAGTGAATAAAATAGTTTTTTGTGGAGTGAGAAAATCTATTTCAAGGTATGAATAAACTATAAAAATTGTATTTATTTACAAGTTATTAATTATTTCCAACTTTGAATTATCGTTAATGGAATTTATATTTTTACAATTCAAACTCGATAAATTTTATATCTATAATATTATTTGAATTTTACCTAAGTTTTAAAAATCCAAAAGTTGACCTGAAGACTGATGATAATACGTTGGCAGGTTAATGAATCTACCAGGTACTATTCTACCCCATTGACAACTCAACCATAAACACATCTATCAGTAAACACCTCTATCAATAATAAATATACCAGTTACATGTCTAACGGTACCAAAATCATCAACCAATCAGAATTTTTATCGAATTACAAAATCTACCGCTCAAAAACTCTACCTATTGAGAACTCAGCCATGTGAAAACTATACCATAATAGTCTCTACCTAAATCGAAGTCTATGATATAATTGCCTGTATTGCCTGTGGGAAATTAAATTTTTTTTTATTTTTTTGGTTGACGCATGAATTATTTGATATTTTGGAAAAGTTTTAAAAGGTTGAAATCAATTTTAAAATCAATTATTAAGCAGTATATATAATGTCAGCTGAAGTATAGCGAAGATATAAAAAAAATAAATAGATAAATAACTTAAAAGTATCTATTATTTATGAAAGGAAGAAATTCAAATTTTATGATATTAATGACTTCAATGATTATTCTGGATGCATTGAAAAGAATTGAAAATTTACTATTTCCAATACCTTTTACTTCGTTTTTTTTTTTTTTTTTTTTTTAATCAGGGATTCCTTTGATTTTTAGCCATTATGATTGATTATGAACAGATTTCAATTCTCTTCCAAATTTATCTGTGATGTTATTGATGAATCAAACCTTAAAAGCTGTTATAAATCAAAGTTTTAAAGACCAATATAGCTCGTCCTTAATACGGCTATCAAGTCTTTGAGGCGTAAAAATAATCGTGAAACGACGATATTTTAGATCATCGAGAATTTCGACATTTGTTTATAAACACATTTTAGTCAAAAATGTAGTGAGATGCCTGGAGAAGTCAAGCTATCAACGATACGTTCATAACTCGTGACGATTAATCGTGAATCACTGTCAATCATTTGTAAAATTTTTCCTTATCCTTCACTTTAGCTACAATTGCCTAGTACATATCAACATATCCGGATAAGAAAGTGCCTGAGACTCTGGTCATATGAATTTTTTTCTTAAACAAAAATTTGTGGTTGCACGAATTGATTTTCTGACAAACAACCTTAGGTTTTTTCTGTCCCTAGAAGTTACATTATTTCAGTCCAAGAATATAAATATTTTCTTTTTAGTCAAAGATTGAAATTTTGGACTTTTTCAAAAATTTCGAAAAGCACTGAGATTTATTTAGCGAACCATCCTTAATTGATGTATTAAAATAGTAAAATACATAATGCAAAACAAAAATAAACTCTGGTGTAAAATCTAAATCATGAATAAATTCATAAAATTGAAGCATACAAATCGTCACGTTAGTAGAAGTGCTATTGCATTATATACTGGGTATTATTTGTATCCAATTTATTTATTTTTTTTTTTTTTTCAGATTAATTAATCATGAATACGACGACATTAATTTATGATGATGATCATAGTATTTTAGATATGGATAAAAATAATAAAGATTTAAATTACCATCGAAAGTACAAAATGGCCAGAAAGAAATTTATATTAGGTAAAAAATAAATTTATTCTAAAAATAATAAAAGAATGCTTGTAAAAGAAAAAAAAAATTGTAATTCATTTATTTATTATTTTAGATTTAGATGATCACAACAATTATGTCGATAATAATGGCTGGTTCAATAAAGTAATAGACGATTGGAGTCAAGAAGATACAATTGATTGGTTAATCTATGCTGCATTATATTTAGGACAGAATTATTCTTCAATTCAACATAGTCTTGCAATTAATGGTCGAGATCTTTTATTATTAACTAAATGTGATTTTGAAATGCATGATTCTACATATGGTGATAAATTATACGATTTATTGCATTCCCAAAAAAATCACAATAGCCGTAAGTATACCTATAGGTAGAATGAATATATTCATGTAAACTCTATATCTATTCAATGATATTTTTACGTACTCAAAATTTACTATATAGTATATATATTAATAACGGAAAATATCAGAAAATCTACGATTTACTAAGTTTATCCTTTTCAAATATTAATATTAATGCGATTATAATGAACCGATGCATGTAACATATTTTGGTGTTATAATTTTGTAACTTCCATTTCCGTGTTTGAACATGCATATCACCCTTAAAATTAAGGGAATCTATTGTAACTCGCAACACTAAGTCTGAATATTCTTCTCTTGAAACTCAATCTAAAAATTATAACTCCTCGATACTTACTTATGTTCTTATTGAAAAATTGAATCATTCAATAATTGAGATATGGAACTATTTTATTCATAAATGATATTTCCATCATATTTTAGATCCACGGTTTATTTCAAATAACGAAAAGTCCATCGAAGACAGTGATAACGACAAACACTTCGATTTAATAAATTCATCTGGTAATATATAATAGTTCAATCATTCAAGAAAATTTATATTTTATGTACTCTAATTTGATATTAGTGATTTTTATTCTTTGTATGCTTCAAGATGCAGAGTCTGACAGCAGTATCGATGTAACTCGACGAAAGAATTATTCCGAACGATACAAAATTTTTAAAGCCAAAAAAAATCGTAAGTTTGAAAATTGTTATAATAAATATTTCTTCTTTCATTTTTTAATTTCTTATTTTCAACATAGAATTTAAAAAAAAAAAAAATAAAAAGAGTGGTAAACAATGAAATTATTTCGCAGTGTGTAACGAGTTTCACATTCAACTGATAATTTTTGATATTAGATTACAATCTTATTTTTTAATCTATGCTTATTATTTTTGACATTCTTATGCTCTTCTGGAATACGTAACGATTCGATTTGGATGTTTGATCCTCAAGACATTTGATCCAAATATGTAAGATTCATAAATAGTGTTGGGAATGGGAAAATAGTAAAAGGCGTGGTCTACACACTACTGATAGAAGGATTTCTTAACATTTAAGAAAATTTCTTTGTATTTAAGAAATCATTTCTTAAACATCATTTCTTAGTATTTAAAAAATATTTCTTTGTATTTAAGAAATATTTTTTAGTATTTAAGAAATATATATATTTCTTTGTATTTAAGAAACAGAGATGTGAATTCGATTAGGTATAAATGAAGATATACTGATAATTACAAATAAATAATAAATTGTTGGCGAATCAATCGTCTTATACAGACCAATTTTTATGGATCAGCTATCGCATTACCTTAGTTTTTTTTTTTTTAAACTTCTAATTTTCATGAAAATTGAAAATTTTTCTTGAGTCGATTTGGATCTAAATAAAAATAATTTAGCCAAAATTTTAGCTTTTAATTCCAAACAAATTGTATACGACGATATTATTAAAATATTGGTCTTCAATTTATATAGTTTCTCGATCTTAAAAACGTTGAAACCGTTAAGCCGTTAAGGCGGTTAAGTTGAGAATCTTTTCCAGATTTTTTTTTTTATTTTAATTCAAATTATATTTTTATCAAATGATTTTTTTGTCTTCAGAACCAACACAAGGCAAGCTATGGGAGTTCATAAGAGATTTATTACGAAATCGGGAAACATGTCCAAGTTTAATTTGCTGGGAAGATTATTCTCAAGCAAAATTTCGATTTGTAAGAAGTGATGAAGTTGCAAAACGATGGGGATCACGTAAAGGGAATACTAAAATGACGTATGAAAAATTGAGTCGGGCAATGAGGTTTGTTAATACAGATTATAACAATATACAATACTATGATAAATGATCTAATTTTCATGCTAGGGGGTTGATGAAAAAAATATATTTTCTTTTATAATATAGTATTTTTATTGTTTACTTTAAAAAATTTCCAAATGGGAATTTGACATATGTTACACGGTGAAAAAAATATCGTCAGAATGAGGATACGTATCGTTATTCTGACTATATGCCGTATACTCATTTTTCTTAGAGATATTCTGTATAGCCAATATAGCTGTACAGCGGATAGTCAAACTGACGACCCCTATCATTATTTTAGGCATAACATTTAGTTGACTCAACTATACAGATTCTTACGTTAACGAAACAGTTGCCTGTTTTAACGAAACTACATATATTTACAAGAGCTATTCTATGTAATGCTTACGAGAAACAAATAAATCCTTAAATCAGAAATCTGGATTGTTATTTTAAGGAAACGCCATTCAAAGATACGTTGGATAGTCATTTTAACAATATTTTTTTCTATGTAGAACGTAGTTTTGAGAGGACTCAATTAACACTTCTTTCTTTTATTCAATAGTTTTAGGTGAAACCAAGTTTTGTAGAATGATTCATTTTATTCAATGTTTTATGTTTTAGATATTATTACAAAAGCAAAATCTTTTTGCCTGTATTAGGACGTCGACTTGTTTATCAATTTGGCCCCAATGCTAAAGGCTGGCAAACGGATAATCCTAATTTTCATCGTTAAAAATCATTACAAAATTTTTATTATTCATGAGTATTATAAGAATTACTCAAAAAATGTGAATAAGTTGAAAATTTAAAGAAACTGATACTATAATTGTTTTAAGAATACTGTTTTATATTAATTAAATATTGTTTTACAAATTTATCTTGCAAGTTTTAATTATTCAATAAATGATAGTAACTGTTAATCATGGAAATTAATTGATCATCTCCGAGTAAATTAATCGTGTCAATTACATAGCTCGAAGGAGACTCCATGATTGTTTGACTGATGAATTACCAAAAAAAGTCACTGATGAAATAATGATGGTAGCGATGATAGTCTCCCAACCATAAAACTCGAACATTTTCTCCAAAGGATTCATTAGACCACGATTCCGACTCACAATTACATCGTGAAAATACCAGATTGGATATGAAAAATAAATGCCTTCGTAGTCCAAGAATGTGGATTGAATAATTAGACGCAGCTTCAAATCTTGGGATTAAACTTAATCTGATCATAGTGAAATATTCATAGATTTCATAAGCCATAGATTGTAATTACCACGCTCGTTGCCTCTAGCAAGTTAGCTATTTCATTCGGAGTAGTGTCTTTTGTTAAAAGTTTATTCTTATTCTGATTTCTTTGATTCTACGCATCAAACATTTCAGCATCGTCAATCGACAAACCACAGTCAACGTTTATGGTGTAGTCAAAAAGATGTTTGGTTCAGGTGAAGAATATATTTTTGCAGTGCTCAGGATCTGTATTAAATAATATTTTTGGTAAGAATGTTTTTGTGTTGCATTTTTAGAGCTTAACTGTTGTATTATCAGAGCTAGTGTAGTGTATTTTATAAATTATCCAATGTGATTCTCGATAAAAGTCACGAATATACAGATCTTAAACCTTCACCCAATTTGCTGGGGCAAAATCTGCATGAGTTTGCAGTTAGAATTTCAATTTTTCCTTCATTAGTTACATAGTAGTATTAAAATACTGTATTTTTCAAAATGACGTCATCTCCTTTAAAATATGGCATCGAGTGCGTTAAACTATATTTTCAATGTCTACTGTTTCCAAACACAAATAAAAATTTTATTTCGAATCGTGGCTGGCCTTTACTTTAGGTCATATTAAATGCGGAAATTGTAGAAGAATTTCATTTTCAATAAACACGACTCAAAGATTTCATCTTTTGAATTTGAGTCAGTTCTAAATATATACCTAGAGTAACCTAGATTAATTAATTTACGAGCATGTATGGAATACACTCACATTCCATGCTTGTAAAGATAGACCTTAGGAATTACATAAATACTAGCTGACCCAGCCACGCGTTGCTGTGGCTCAGTAATTATAATAGATTGAATCAATTTTCAACTTCCCGCTAAGAAAATCGAAGATTTTAAAAAATCGGGAAGTTATTGTTTTCACCCCGTTTTGCAAAAATCGAGTTTTCATCAGATCTCGACGTTTGAAGGTCACAGGAAGCTTCCCTGACTATCCCCGCGAAGTTGTCACTATGTCTGTATGTATGTATGTATGTATGTATGTGTGTGTGTATGTTTTTTTTTTATTATAAGGGGGAGGGAATCCTTTTTATGGATTCTAGGCATAGATGTTTGGCCTGGATATCCGGCGACTCCACGCAGCGTCATACTAAAACTCGACGCTAATGCCCCTACCCACTAAACCCTAAACCCCTTTTCCTTCTTTCCTCTAATCCCTCATGGAAACCGCCGTCAGGCATTACTTCGTAAAGGGAGGATCTAGCTACTGCTCTTCCTTCTGGTGGCTAAGGTGTTAACTTCCTTCCTTCTATCTTCTGCTATTTGCTCTTCTTCTTTCGGTGGAACGCAAGTCTTTGAGGACTTCTGTTGCAAACGTGTTGGTAGCGTTCCAGGCAGCTTCTGATGACAACATTGCTTCCACTAGTGAATCTGGTTGCATTTTCTGGTTCAGGGTCCTCTCCAACTCGTCACGCTGTGGATCGAAACGAGGAGATACAAAGAAGACGTGCTCCGCATCTTCAGCAACTCCTGGGCAGGACGGGCACTCCGAAGAGTCATCGTGCTTAAAGCGGTGTAGATACTTTCGAAAACATCCGTGTCCCGACAACATCTGCGTAAGATAGTAATTGACCTCGCCGTGATTCCGGTTAAGCCAAATGTCGATCCGAGGTATTAGACGGTGCGTCCACCTACCCTTCTCTGCAGCATCCCATTGTAATTGCCATCGGCCTATGCTATTCTGCCGTTCTTCAATTCTAAGTTCTTCAGGGCTCAGTGCAGTTGACCTTTTTCGTTGGTAAAGGGCCCGTCTTTCCTCTGCTAGAACTCTAAGAGGTAGGGTTCCAGTAATGACGCACACTGCTTCTTCTGATATAGTGCGGAAGGCACTAGCTACTCGTAGGGCACTCAATCGATATACTGGTCCAGCTTTTCTCCATGATTCTTAGGTCTCCAGTGCATCAGCCGAAATAGATATTCCGTAAGTGAGCACTGATGTGACTACTGATGATAATAGTAGCCTCCTGCTCTACATTGGGTCTCCGATGTTAGGCATCAGTCGTGCGAGACTAGCCCTCACTACTGACGCTTTGGCACTGACGTGTTCCACCTGCTGCTTGAAGTTGAGTCGGGCATCCAGCATCACTCCCAGATAACGGATAAATGGTTGTGATGTTATTTCTTGTTCTCCGACTCTCAACTTGATGGTTTCTACCGTTTTTCTACTAGTGATAAGCACTGCCTCGGTTTTATGCTTGTAGTGATGAGCAAAATGGTCTTGGTCTTGCGATTTTGCAAGACCAAGACCAAGACCAAGATCATACACACACTAGCAAGACCAAGACCAAAACCGAATTCTTATTATGTAAATGACAAATTTAACATTTTTCAAAAATTTTTTTTTCAATAGCCCTAAGTGTCCCCTTTTAAACAAATGAAAGGCCATTCCTGTATGTATAATAGCGTTCCAAATATTACAAAAACAAAATTGAAAAACTGGAAGAATCGCGAAATTTTGAATTGCATATCTTTTGAAAAAAAAAATTTTTTTTTTTTCCCCTTGGCAGAACTTTGTTATATGATAAAAGTAAATTTCTGACCAAAATTCATCCATATCGAAAGGGATCGATTCCAACTATTGGTTGATTTGACATGGAACTACCCAATAGAATAAAGTAAAATTCTTTGATTAGTATAAAATAAAGCTTAATTAATTATAGATAGTTATTGTTGATAATTTATAATTTATACCTATAAGAAGACTTGACGAATTTTCAAAACAAAGTAAATAGTAAATAGCAGACTATTTGAGCAAGCCCAAGACCAAGACCAAGACTGAGTACGCAAGAACGAGACCAAGACCAAGACTGAATATCGTCCGCTTTCTGTGTAAACCTCGTAACTCCATTTTTTTCGAAATTGAGATTTTTAGCGAAAATCACATCAATTCTTGATGTCCAAAGCAGCCACCAAGCAGTATTTCTTCTCTTCACTCTTCCATCTCGTTCCAGCGATTGCATCCTTGGCTGTATCAACAATCAATTTGATCGCATCCAGAGTTGACCGTCTTTTTCGGAAACCAAACTGGTTCTCTGCCAGGAGTGGATCGACTACAGTCTTGTAACGGGTGGTTTATTTCCCGCACTTATGGCCCCTGGATTAAATTTAAACAATGCAACTTAATTAACAATAAATGACTCTAATACTATTCAAGGTGCCACCAGGATTATTTTCTCGGTTCCTGGAACCGGATGCCAGAGCTGAGCTTATTAATCTACAGGGAGAAAGAGAGTGGAGGAAGGTGATCTGTAAATAATTAAATCTTTATTTAAACAACGGATCCAAAATTTATTCAACAATAAAATTAACAACGCGTGCACTTGCACGTACACTCCAACTCGCTTACAACTATCTCACTCACAACTACGACTTCTTACTTCAGGCTTTCCACAGGAAAGTCGCTACTACAACTTATATCTACCTTCGAGGATTTCGGGCTAGAACCGTCGCCTCACTCAATGCTAGTCCTCTGCTCGGCAATTCATCAACAAGCAGAAGACGTCGCACCAAGTCCTAGTCATCCTACTCGGCAATTCATCAACAAGTAGGGCTCGTCTTAAAAAAATTCCTAATCCCACAGTACCCTCATACGGAGCGTCTATACTGTGGTTTCTAACTACGTCGCGCTGTCCACCGGACCCTCACGCTCTAGGACTGCACGAATTGCTCTACTCGGCAATTCATCAACAAGTAGAGAACGCGTACAATCGCACAGTCTTAACCCACACGATCTCCATACACATAACCCACTCTCACACACACACTGACTCTACTTTACTTTTCTATTTCCGGGTTTACAAAATTTCCACAAAAATAAACTCCGAAAATTAATACATTAATTTTTATCAAAATTAATCAGTCATTAGCTCGCGATAAAACTCGTAATAATTTTCTACGATTAATAAATTTACTTCTTAAAAATTCCGGCTTAAACCGACGCTCCTTTTCCCTCCATTTTTAACACGAGCTTATTTCTGCGCGTTACCAAATTCTCAGAATATTCTTTTCGCAAATTTAAATAAATTTTACTCGGACTTAATCCACACGAATAAATAGTTTTACAAAGAATTTTACCGGAATGATGATATTAAATTATTGACAAATTTTCCAGGACATTATTTCAATATAAGACTCCCCAAGCAGAATTTGGCCATTAAATTAGATAATCAATTATAATTTTACTCAATATGAAAATTACGTGCCTGAAGTTTTACTGCGGGTGTATCAGTCTTATCTGCGGCGAAATTTAATAATTAATTCTCAATAATTAATAACACGTGGAATAATTATTTTCTGATAAATTGAGAATGACGATTGGATAATTAATGATTCGCCTCGGTGTAAAAAAAATACAGAAAATTATCCACGGCGTTAAATTTCTAAATGCGTCGCAGTTTTCTCAATAATTAAGCTTCCGGTAATAAAATTGTTCCAAATAAATACAAATAATTTTCAGTAAATAATCAAATATAAATCAATAAAACTAATTAATTAAGTGGTAATTCAATTTCTAAAAATTATAAAAATTGTCCAGGTATTTATTTCATAAATTTACTGCGTCACAAAATTCTTAAGGAATTTGCGCGCTCAAAATGGACGCCGTTTCTGCGTAGTAAGCTTGACCTCGGGTACCGACGCTGGACTGGTCGTGAGCCGTGATTGGAATGTTTTCTCGATGTTCAGAAATTATATTAATAATTTATTAATAAAAAATGAATTTATTAATGCCAATCAAAGGTGTTAAATATTATTAACCAGCTGAATTAATAATTTAGATACTCACGACCAAACCCCAAGAGGTCTGGAACATTCCTCGGGTGCAAAAATCTCCAGGAGGAATTGTTCTCAAAGCTAGCAAATTAAATTTATTAAAATAATTAATTATTATTACAAAACAAACTGAATTACCATTAATTAATTTAAAAAATGAGAAGTAGTATGGAAATTGAGCCGGGTGTAAACCCCCAGGCTCATCACTACCAAAGTCCAATACCTGGTGTAAATTGGTTTGAAGAAACTCTTTGGTTGCTAATGGCTTCCTTCTTGGACTCCTCGATGTTCTCGTTTCAGCACTACACTACTTCTGCCGACACAACGCATGGCTCGTCTATTTAATGACTCCCCAAAATATCCCCTCCTACTCTCTCTCTAGGCCCGAAGATCGATGCGCCAAAATGCTAGTCGAAAAAGTTATCGATCTCTGGCGACTTATCGATTAAGGGTAATTTACCCTGTTACAGCCTCTATTCTCTGGTGAATTATGCGCTCGAATATCTTGCCGGCCGTGTCTAACATGCAGAGTGTTCGGTAGGATGACGGTTCTTCCGGCGGCTTTTCCCCTTCGGAAGTAGCACTAGCCGTTGCTGTCTCCACTTCTGGGGAAAAGTCCCTTCCTTCAGGCATGTATCGTAATCGTCTAGGAATAATGTCGGTGTTGCCGTAAGGATTTATTTCAGGGCAATATTAGGGATTCCGTCCAATCCCGGTGCCTTATTATTCCCTACTCGATTGCCTGCCTCTATCAACTCATCCAACGTGATACTTGGGATGTCTTCAGGGTTGAGGTGCTCCAACTTGTAGGTGAATACCGGCTGTTGAGGAAACAGTGCAGTAACAATCTTCTCTAGGAGCTGTGGACACGTATGTGATGGCATTGGCTGGCATTTCAGGTGGGTCATAACCACCTTGTACGGTCTGCCCCATGGATCTTTCTCTATTTCTGCGACCAGTTCTTTCCAGTAGCGTCTTTTGCTTTCTTTAATGGCTCTGTTTAGTGCTTAACGGGCCTTTTTATACTCTGCCAACAGCTCTGCGGAGTTAGGTCGTCTGTAGCCACGCTGCGACTTTCTTCTTTTTTTAAGACACTCTAAGCGTAGAATGCTAATGTGATCGTTCCACCAGTGCACCGAAGGTCTTGGATTCATGCCACGTTTCCGAGACATACTGGAGTCGCAAGCCTGGGTGACTCTTCTCATTAGGTCCTTGGTCTTCTCTTCAGCAGTTTCTACGATGATCGGATCGCACTCTAGGGCTACTACTAAATCAGTGAGGTCGAGAGATTTAACTTTCCACCCAACCGCGCTGGCGTTCCTGTTGACTCTTGTTAGATTCTGGCCAGTTGATATTTCCCATAGTATCGCACTATGGTCACTGGCTGTGTAGATGTTCAATACTTTCCAAGAAAAACCTCTTCGGACTAAGCAACTGCTGACAAATGTAAGGTCAACAATTGAGTTTGTCGCTTCCTTAGTATACGTTGGCGTGTCACCGGTGTTAAGAAGGATCACGTCCAGTGTGGCCATTGCCTCGAGAAATGCTTTTCCACGTGTATTAGTGAACTTGCTGCCCTAGTCTGCTGCCCAGGAATTGAAGTCACCAGCTATTGCCACGGGAAAGTGTTTTCTTTCGTGCTCAGTTAGCCGATCAAGGAAGTCTTCAAACTGTTCATTAGAGAGACTAGGTGGTGCATAGCAGCTGTAGAAGCGGAGGCCATCTACCCATGCTGCTACGAAGCCGGCTTCTTTATTGTTGACTGTTCTCTGAAAAGGACATTTATCGCAGGACCAGATGACGGCTTTGTTAGTGCTGTCAGATTCCCAGGGTTGATTACTCAGGTGTCTATAAGACTCACTTATAACTGCTACGTCTGCCTCTAATTCACGCACAGTTTGCATGAGCAGGTCATGCGCAGCCTCACAATGATTGAGGTTGAGCTGCAATATCTTCATGTTCTTGGCTTCGTTATCTTCTGGAGCGCTTCTTAGAAGACGGGGCATCTGTTCGTGCCTGCATGGTGAGCAGCCTTTTCTACGCCGTGCTGTTCAACGCACAGTGCACATTTAGCTGGATTTTTACAATCAGCAATTTTGTGTCCTTCTTTTCCGCACTTTATACAGTGCTTAGACCGGTCGACTCCGCTTTTGCACTGAGATCCGAAGTGCCCAAAGTGCCAGCATTTGAAGCATTGTATGGGTCTCTTCGTTGCTCTCATTCGGCAATTGACCCAGCCGATCCTTATTTTGCAGTTTCCCTCCAGTAACTTTTGTGCTGCAGCTGCTGTCAGTGACACTGTGGCTGTCTGCGTACCCTAAAGGCTTACGGATCTTGATTGCCTCTAGAGGGATTTCACAACTTTCTCCAGCTTCCCTCTTTAGAGCGGTCTGAATATGCTCTTTCGTCGTGTCGTCAACGACATTTCGGATCTCGATGGTCTCCTGTGGTCCTTTGCAGATTACTTTGGCCTCCTCCTTAAGGATGTCAGCGATCGTCTTTTGGAGGGCTTGGCCTTTGTCAGTGCTCTTCCTCGGGATCGTAATCAACAAATCACCACTTCTGGTCTTGTTGATCTTATCTACCGTTGAACGAACCTGCTCATATTGACCTTAGTTTGGACCAACTCTTGCAGCTCAATGGTCAGCTTTTCAAGGCGCTCCAACGCTTGCGTTCTCTTTATTTCAGCGCTTGCTTCAATCGCTGCTTGTTGGGCATGAAGCCCGTTTTTATTCTTGTTTGTTTCCTGTAAATTACTCATACTTTTTGATTTACCAGCGCATCGTACGGAGTGGAGCGGTTTGTTATAACTAGGAACGGGTGTACCCTCGGAGATAGTACTCCTACCCCAGTTCCCTGAGGCCTAATTATTAAGCGCCTAATTATAGAATTAGCGGAAAGTTGCAGGGATGGCCTTCAGGATTAACCGTCTTCCTAATTTTTTTTTTTTTTTTTTTTTTTTTTTTTTTTTTTAAGGAAAACAGTCTTAAAAAATTAGAAAACAGTGAAAGGAACAATCAAATTTCGGTACCTTCTTTTTAAGGAACTTGTGAGGAGAATCAGAAAATGATGAAGAACATCAATATCGAGTTGTAAATATTGATAAATTACATACACACACAATTAAAAACCAAAATTTAGTACTTCCAAACATTAATATTTTACGTCATTTATTTTCGAGTAAATTCATATAATTCTAAAAAATATGTCAATTTAAACCTATTTTATTTAAAATACAACTATTTTATATTAGATAGCATAAAATTTACAATGCTAGAGAAATTGTGCTGAAGCTCAAATGAGCGAAAAATTTATACTATTTTAATTATTACATTAGAATATTCAATAATAACCTAGAATATCGATTGTCAAAAAGGAAGCTCAGTAACAATAATGCGTAATAACTAAAATATGAATTATATTGTAAAATTTCTCCTTCGTTTCAATTGAGATTGTCTGAGAAAAAGAAAAATAATTTTCATCGAATTTGTACCAAAATTTAAACTTTTTGGTAGTTTAGTTTCGTTTACGCTAATAGTTCCCTGCACCATTAGCCTAAAATTATTTTATGTTTGGCAGAATGTCGACATGATAGTTTGGTGTTACTACTGGAACAATATAATATAGCTCAAGAAGCGAACTTTGTTGTAGTGTAATCTGAAAAAATCATGCCTCATTTTTTGTCTCATTATATAGCTTCTGCCATTGTTTTTCAAGAATTTATTATGTACCTAATTTTAATAATTATTAATTGTAAAATCATCATCAATTGTTCAATACTAATCTTCATTGCGAATCATATAGTTGTATACTATTACTAATCAAGATAGTAAACTTGACTGTGATTTTTAATTACAATAGTAATTATTAATGCACGATTATCTTTTGGATGTCGTTGACAAATCAGTTTCCCATTGATTATTTCACCTAAAAAAAAAAAAAAGATTACACAGGTTTCAATTTTAGTTAGTCAGATATATTTTATATTAATATAATAGATACTGTATAACGGGGTTATGCCTGACCCGGGGATTTACCAAGCCAGGCTCACCGTTTATATTGAAATTTTTGGCTTACTTAAAAAAAGAATGATTATTAAAAAGGGCGCCAGGAGAATGATCTCCAATTAATTACTACTTCGACTTCGGCGAGCTCTTACCTCTTCCTCAGGGCGGCGGGCCATGCTGGAATACCCGTCATTAAAAAAAAGGACAGCAAAATAAACGTAATTCTTTAAATTACTCGAAATAAATTCAGAAGAATTAAAAAAAAAAATAACAATTTATTTAACAAAATATACGTCGGCGGTCGATATTAATTTTTAACAAAAATTAAAACGTCGTAACTTAAAATTTCGCTTGATTTTAACAAAATTCAAAACAAAAAAAAAAAAACGTCGTTACCTCAATTTCATTTCTCACACTCGCATTCATACATCGGCAATCACACTATGTAATAACAGCATTACAATTTTCATTCATTCACACATAACATTCACAACGTTGGATTCAAGCCTGGAAGGCTATAATACCCTAAGTATTGGGCGTCGAATAAAAATTTACCACGTTACAACTGTCAAGTGAAATTTTCGATTTACACAAATCTTATTGGTAATAAATTTTCTACTGATGAAAACTCATTAAAAAATATCACCGCAGATATTAATTGATAATTATAAGGAACAGAGAAATAAAAATAAAAGATTTCTTAGAAATAACAAATACCTTCGGTAATGCTGATTGGTTCACTGAGGGAAAAGACTGTTTGTTTCCAATGAGTAGGCTGACTATGTGGTCCCGTACTAAACTTGACTGGATTGTCAAGATCGAAGAAAACATCAAAATATCCAATAATAGCAGTAAGTGAGCCAGTTTTTTTAATATTAAACTCAAAAGGCGCAGTAAAATTCACGCAATTCGTATCAACTGTATAAAGATCGAAATTTTGAATCAGCGATACGTTTGTAACGATATCTTTGACATTAGAAATTTCGATACTTGGTTCCTTGACAACTTTGGCTTTCATACAACTCATTTTAAATCCATAAACATTCGACCAGTAATCTACAAGGTCGATGTAACGTTCTGAAAATAAAATTCATTTTTTATATTTATTATAAGTATTAATTAAGAATTAACAAAAGATAAGCTAATAATAATGAATTTTTAACGTACTCGTATCACCACTACCCACTACACTAAGAGTGCAACGATTAGGTAACAATTTTCCGCCAGCTTTTAAATGATGATCACGGGCGTAAATCACTGTATCCAACATTCCTTCAAATAGTAAAAAGTATCCCATCCATTCTGATACAATTGCATCAACTTTATCAATTCCAAGATCAATATCTTCTAATCGTCCCTTTTTCAATTCAATTACATCATTCAAGTTATTTTCTCTGAAAATATTAAAAATTTTAGTGATTTAATGTTAATGCCGGGGACGATTTTATAATAAACTAAATTTATAAAAATTTTTAATTTGATTGTTTTCAAAAATTTCATTTGGTAAATTATTGTGAACAACTCATTTTATAGTAGTACCTGACGATATCCATCGCATGATAAATAACATCAGATTGGTCCACACTTATGATTTTTTTACATCCTGATTTGGCAGCAAACATTGACAAAATACCAGTACCGCAACCGACATCCAGCATCGTACAATTATTAAACAAATGAGAATTGGTTAAAAGTGCATCACGATAACTTTCTGTTCTCACTGTATCCTAAATAATTAATAAGAAAAAAAAAATAATATTGTAAATGTATTTTAAATAACATTAAAGCTTGATTATTAAAATATTATTCTGAAACGTTTTAGTATAACATTGATACATCATTTAAGTAAGAGGGGGTTATTTAAATAAACAAGTTCTGAAAGAGACTAAATATTTTAGAGCATTTAGGCACGTTCTAGAATACTATAATAGCTCAGTGTATGTCGTGATAGATTATTACAAAAAATTCTGAAATATCCCAGCAAAACCGCTGGATCCGACTTACTGAATCCTGATTAAGAGATGGATTTAGAAATATCGCCTCAATGCAAAATATATATCTATATAATATTCAAATTAAATATTTTTCAATCTTTTCAAATCATTTTGAATCATTTGAAATTCCTTTTCTTAATCAGGGAATGTCCACAACCATAATCCCCATATCTCCAAAACCAATCCCTGCAGCTCTAAGCTACAAACTTTTTAAGAGATGGAAAAGGGAGGGCTACCACACCATAAAAACCCCATGAGGCTGTGGGGCTTAGTGACGGAGTAATAATGCTTGTAACATAAAACCACTTTTATATAAATATTAGATTACCGTTAACATTTCGTGATGAATAGCAAAATGGCTGTAAGTATTGAAATAGCCGTCGTCGTTAAGCACACCTGTACTATTCAATAATCTTTTAGGTATATCTACATCATCTTCAATAATTAGATTTTGTACTTTTTTTTGCATTTCTTCAATTTGCTGAAACACAAAAAAATTATATTTTACTATGAATATAGCTAGTTGATCAATTTTTGAGTACTTGAACTCTTCTTAATTTGCAAAATTTTTCGAATTTTTGCTATCTAAATGGTGAGTAACTTTAAACCTAAAGTAGAAGACGGATTCAACAAAGTTAATATCAGCTGAATAAAGTATGGCAAAAGTTAAATTTGGTTGCTATTTGTACTTATTTCCAAATTAAAAATATTTCAAGAAATTAAGCTAATGGAAGTATAATTTTAATCTAATTTTTTGGAATTTATTTATAATAATATTATTATTATTATTATTATTATTATACAAAAAACTTTTGTTCATTGTGCGATTAAAGAAGAGTTAAGTAAAACAGGAAACGAAACTTGGAAATAATAAATTACATTATAAAAATATCCATACCTCTTTAGCACAAAAATAGGCTGCTTCACGTTGTTTTAATTGTAATTTCAATTCCTTAATTGTTTTTTGTAACTCGACAAAATGCTGTTCTGATAATGTAACACAGCCATTTTCAGCATTTACGGGGTAAGAATTTAATCTTTCATTGTTTGTTGGTGTGTGAGGTTCATTAACTTCTTCGATTACTTCGATTGAACGGTGATTTGCGATCAAGTTGTCATCCAATTCTTCAATATCTGAAGTCAATCTTTTATTAATAATCAACAAACTTTAATGTTTTTTACTCCACAACATAAATAAAATATCTGCACTGATTTAACATGCGGATTATCATTTTTATACTACATAGATTACGCAAGAAATTTAGTTATAACTATAATTAATATTTCATTCAAAGTAAATATTGTATAAATCATTACTAAGGATAACATGCATTTCTTATTCCTCACAAAATAATTCGAAACATATGCTCCTGAGAAAAAATATTTCATTTGATCAATCCTTGCATAAAAAGTAAAAGATGAGAAAGTTAAATTTTTAAAATACAATTACAGAAGTTATTAGATAAATTTAATTATTTTGAGCATACTATTTTTAAAAAATCAAAGCAAAATTATTTTGCAATTAATCACAAAATTTTAAACAAATTACATTTGTAGATACTTTTAATTTAAGATATTTTATTATTATCTTAGGATCATCTACATGTTGAATAAGTCCTTTTTAACGAATGACAATAAAGAAAAACTAATGTGTAATGTCTAATTAAAGTGCATTTGAGCTCAATAATGTTGTACTAAAAAATTTTTAGCTCTTTGATGTCGAATAGTGATATTAGTTTTATTATTTGGATGTGAAAATTTAATGCATTTTTTTACATTTAAAGTCAAACAAAAGTTGAATATCAATTTAGTTAGCTGAAACTCTTGCTACCTGGAAGATCTGTTATCATCGTCTAACAATTCGCTCGATTAATTTTTAATTGTCTGTTAGATAGTAAGAATACCAATAATAAAAAACTAGACCCAGGGTTAATTCAATTTCATCATATATATTATACAATCAACTTAATCATATAATTAGTAACTTTCCAATTTTCGAAAATTATTGAATTTCACAGCGGTAAGTTAAAAATATAAATAATTTTCTTTTAAATAATCAATAGTTAGGAAATAAAATATCTTATCTTTAAAGAAGTTAGCAGTAAGAAGAAAAAATAGATAGCTTTATTAAATTTAATTATTAAAATAAAATGATAGTAATTTTTTTTGTAAAGTTAATAATTGGAAAAAAATGATTCTTAAATTAAAACAAAACGTTGAAATCTTGATTTTCAGGCCTTACTAGAACATTCCTACGCGCTTCGTGCATAAAGCATGTAAAAGAAGCAAATTATAGTAATATCCTCAAAATAAATGCTATTTTTGCCCAACACCGATTTTAACATTTTTTTAGAATAATAAAATTATATATTCACTACAAATATGATGTTATTATTATTATCTAAACTTTGAGCTTATTTTAACTTTAATGATTTTTGGCAATAGAAAGTTTTTTAAATTGGTTAATTAAAGAAAAAAATTCCAAAGCTTTTTACAGAATTAAAATTAAACACACAAAAACGATAAAAATAATTTAAATACGAAAATAAAATCCGACTGAGTGTAAACACTAAAAAAAGCAAGTAGAACTTACCGAACATCAACCAAGCATCATCTGGAATAATGGGTGTTAGATATTTATCATTTTCCCATGTATCACATTTAATTGACCCAATATCATTTGGCGTTAATTTATGCTGTCTGACAAAGTTAATAAATTTTCTAAAAGAATAATCATCTAACTGATAATCCTTTATTAATTTTGGCATATCAAATAGATGTTGTAACTTGAGGTGATTCAAAGCATCGTTATAACCTTGAAACTCATCTTTGCAAAATAAACAAGAAATATTTATTAATTCGTCTTCTTTTAATTCATCCCAATCATCTCCGCTACCATCACTATCACTTGTATCGATGTTCATTTTGCTAATTTTTTAAATTAAATTTATTTATGATATTTTATTTATACTTGCGTGAAAACCACGTTGTTAAATTCAAAAACACGTGTGTAAACTATGATCCGACTATATGGAGATTGAGTTTGTTACTCTTAACTAGTGGTGGGAGAATACAAATCATGGATTCATGGAGGTAAAATAGTAAAATGAACGATATGTTCTATTATATAGTTGTGTACAATAGACAATTGATTTTTACAATTAAAAAAAATATCAAATGAAAAATAATCAAGTAATTATTAACAAACTTAAAAAATCAGTGCGTGCATTTTTTTTAATTATCATTTTAAAATCATTAAGTTATTTATTTATGATTGATTTAATTTAAATTCGTATCTGCTACATTTAACATTTTCATAATTTTCCTATTATTTTTCATAGATTGTTTTCTTTTTAATTTTTTTTCTTGAGTTTTAAATGTCCAATCACAAAAAACCACTCAATTAATTTTTAATTATAAGGATTGCAATTATGTGTAAGTCATGTTCGTGTTTTTTATTTTGTCGAATTGATTACAATGTTTTTCGTTAACATCAGTTTATTTTTTTTTCTTGATGAAAACTATATAAATTTTTACATTTTTTTGTGTACACGTCACAACGATTTATTTGGTTTAGTACATAAAATATAAAATGTAGTGGTATTAGTTATTATATTATTTAAAAAAATCAATAATAAAGTTAAATTGAGTGTGTATACAAATTTGAAATCGGGCGCTTGATTTATTACAAATGTTGGGTATTTGTAATTCAATGGATTAAAATTGCGAAATTTTCTTGCAAATGAAGTTTCTTACACTAGATGGAGACATAATGTATGATCCTTTTATTATTTTTAAAAGAAAAAAAAAAAAACTATGGTGGGTAGACCTTGTATGGGGGATATAGAGGGTAGAAGTAAGGAGAACCGGAGAACCGTGTTGAAAAAGTGTCCATTTGTAAACAGCAAATTATTGTTCGAACACTCACCGAAATAGTGCTAGTGTAGGAACTGGAAATGATATGAATTTAGCAGTTATAAACAGAGTGAAGTATGCTGGGTTGAAAATTTAATATTTTTTTTGACTTCTGTAGTTAAGAAATAGGCAGTATTTAAAATCTCAATTATTTACGTAGTCAACTGTAATTTAGTAAATAAATAACCCATGAAATTCCAGAAATAACTACATATAGTGGTTTGTTTTTTATGAAATTTTATTAATACATCTTTTGTTATTTTGATGATTTTATTGTTGTTAATGCAAAAAGAAAAAACATAGAAGCAATGGGAAAACTTTGTTATGTGAAAAGTTGTCCAAGTGGGCGAAAATTAAAAAGTAAAGGAATTGATACGTCTCAACCTCTATCTTTTTTTCAACCAACAGTATGTATAATCAATTTTTATTAACTATTTTAAGTAACTGAAGTTAACATATAACAGTTTTGTATTTTTTATAATAGTTGTTAAAAAAATTTATTGAAAAAGTTGTTATCCAAAACACTTGATGAAAAAAGTGCTGTTGTGTAAAATTTTTTTGTCATTATTATAGATGAACGATAAAAATTACAAAAACTGCAAATATCTAATAAATTAAGTATCTTATTATTTTCTCAATTAACAGATAATAACTTTCATAATGACCTAGATAAGTCAACCGATTATTATTTTTTTAATTTTAACTTATAGACGCCGGCAAAATTAAAAAAATGGAATATGGCTTTGGGCACTACAATGAAAAAAACTGATTATATTTGTCACCTACATTTTAAAGAGAAGGATATCAAGATGTACGAAACGTTCAATATTAAAGGAGAGATTATAATTCTTCCTACAGGCAAGAAAACACTACGAGAAGAAGCTCTACCAACAATTGAGCATCAGTTTATCTCTGTACTAGCACATGAACTCCAAACAAGTGTCGTCAATAAATCACAAAACGTGCATTCTAATCCAAATCAATCAGAAAGTAAACGGGATCACCTAACATAAGAGCATCAAGATCAACATGAGCAACAAGAATTGTTACTTGATCAGAGAGTTGCTAATAATTTAATTCGTGTCATTCAACAAACTGAACATGATTTAGATATACCACAGTTGAATCAAGAAACTCACGACGATGTACAGAATGATAAAGAATCTGATGTAAATTCTTTATCAGCAGAGAAATTTTTGGAAAACATAAAATCTTCACCGCTGCCGCAAAGCTGGATGTATTTTGAAAAAGTAAAAGGGCTGGAATTTGTGCAGATAAATCCAACAACTATGCAAATTTCAAATCGTCTACAAGTAAACAAGGATTTATCTATTACTGTAAGTATATGGAACCTAAATGTGATAGTCATTGTTTTTATAATAATAATTAATTGAAAAAATATTTAAGGTTATTTTTTCCACCAATGAAGAGTTGAATATAAATGACAATATCAGTTCTTTCAACAGTATCTACGATTACTTAAAATCAGTAGAAAGATGGCCAATATGCGTTGGAACTCAAATTGACAATAACAAGTAAGATTGTTTTTTGCAGTAATAAAGGAATTAATTGCTACGACAAATAAGATTACAACTAACTTTTCAATAATTACATTAAATTTTAGGTTTTCAAAAGTTTGTAAGGGTGTACTTGTTGGTGATGATTCCTATAAGAGAAATCAAGCGAATCCAAGATGTAAATCTTGTAGAATTTTACGTCATCGTTTACAGAAATATAATTCAACTTCAACTATTTTAGAAAGTTATTTGATAAAACACAATGATTGAAATTTTAAACGTTGTAAGTTTCATTGATAAATTGAAACTTGAGAAAGTTATAACTCAACTGCCATGAAAATTTGTTCAATACAAAAACTGTCAGGTACTCAATGCCTAACGATTATTCTATGTTTTTGGCTTCATTAAATAAATTTTTTTTGTTAATTTCTTCGGTGGAGAGTATTTTTAAATAAATTTGTTTTTTTTTTTGGTGTGGTTGAGTTTATGGTCTCCTTTGCATATAATTTATTTACTTTTTTTGCATGTAATATTGGCAATAAGTATACTTATAGACTAACAAATTTATACAATTAATAATTGATTGACTGATTAAAAGCTTTAAAACTTATCCAAATCACAAATTTTGGCAGGCAATTTTAGAATTTCTGCAATTTTTTTAAAATTGGGAAAATCTTGAAAAGAAAATACCTGTGTCAAAAAGTACTTCAATTGGTTTGAAAGTAACGTTACGAGTTACACTTGAAATATTGGACATGCTTAAAAACGAATGTGAATGTAAATATTTGATGATAGCTACGTTATTACAGGATCCTTTAGAGGTAATAGTACACAAATAAACATAATATAACTATTATTGACGGTATTTATCATTATGTCTATTACACAATTATTGATCTTTCATTTTAGAGATTTTTTTCTATAATGTGACATTCGTGTGAAGGGAATGATCACCCTGATCCAAAAATGTTCGCTCAAGTTTATTGATTGACATCTACATTTTCACTTATACGTCCTCCGAAATCAAGAGCGGGAATCATGGCTTCAAAACATTGATGCCATTCTAGAAGGTACTGAACCGCAAGTGAAAGATTCTTCAATAGATGAGGACCATGATTATAATGAGGCTGTAACCAGTGATGCCGTGCAATCATATATTGCCGGTTATATAACTCACAAAATGCAAAAAATTGTAAAATTTCAGATTGCTTAAAAACTATTCGTATGAATTCAGTAGATGGTCAACGATTACAAAGAAATGACGTAATCAATAAAATGAATTTATATGGTGGAATTGTGTGTGCTAGCTACTAGTTGTTCGAATTGACCAATAAGCAATTGCAAAAGTGTGTTTTTCCAGAGCTGTAAGCAAAGCTTTAACAAATATTGAAACCATAAGTCAAATATCTAACGAACTTAAAAACAAAAATCTTAAAAGTTGGATGCTTTAAGCATGAAAGAAAACTAACTATGAAAATAATCGATGTTTATATAGTGATGCGTGCTCATTTTTTAGCTATATCAGAAAATAAACGCTATGACGCAGCTAAAACGAAAACCAAAATGTACCGATAAAACGCCAAATTACTTTCTTAAACGTATGACTATTTATTAAAAAAAAAATTTATGTTATATGGTTCAAAATATAAATTTTTATTTCTTGATTTATATTTTAATATATCGTACTGTTAATAATAAATATTTATTGATCGCCTTTTAGACCCGTTTTGGTAACTTCTACATTTAGATAATAATTATGAAACCTCTATAACATTTTTTCAGTACGCGATTGCCTAAATGATTGAGAATTTCTTGTTACAATTTTAATTGTTTTTTTCTAAATTTCGGTAATACTTTAATACTATTTTCTATTTGTTATTTACAAATAATTGGGATACTTAGAAACACTATAATTTTATTCCATACTCATGTTTGTCTATATATTGTAGTAATTTAAAAAAATGCGCTGTAATAAAGCGGAAATCTTACTTTCTTTATTTAATTTAGTATCCTACTCTAATAATTTCTGGCGCTCTTTTTAAAATTCTTCCACTTGCTACTATAGTGCCACCTTAATTGGTTCCCTTTCAACGGACACTTTTCATTAATTTTCGTCCTAGGCGGACGTATGGGGGTTTTTACGCGCAGACGACACTCAATTTGTAAATAATACGCGTACGCGCCAGTATCTACTGGGCTGTATAGAACTTTATACAGTCGAGGGCAATGTCACGCAACCGTCACCAATCTCTATACAGCCGAGTAGCTTACGTTTCAACTGTCATTTTAATTAAAAAGCGCACCTTTGACTAACTTCAAGACTTTCATGTATTTTTGTTTAGAGGATTAGAGGGTTATGGCGTCGTACGCTATTTATTTATAAATTGAGTATCCCCTGCACGTAGAAACCCGCATACGTCCGCCATAGGACGAAAAATTTTTTAAGCACCATGGGCAAGCCACGCGCAAATACGGTCTCGGCGATAATTATTTGCAGCAGGGGTATAAAGCCTCGGGCCTTGGCTTTATACTATCCCTGCTGAAAATACTTATCACCTCGACCGTATTGGCGCGTGACTCGCCCAAGGTACATAAATAACTAATACTGATGAGGTGGTCCTTCATACTTCTACCCTAAATAAACCGGCTGAATTTATTGTGGGTTGCAGTCAACTAGCCAGACTGACAACATTCCGAATTAATAAATTACTAGAACTTAGAAAGTAAATATTAAATGTAATTTAAAATAATTAATTTTACAAATTTTAAAATTCCGAAAAATATAATCTTAAATAAAGAAAAAAAACTAAAGCTATATTAATAGAATCTTTCAAAGTCACTAAGTCTCAATCCTAATATAAAATTGAGATGAAATATATGTGGCATCAAACTATTCGTAACGTGATTGGTCGAATATATCATAAGCATGAAAATATATGCAAACTCTATAGTTAGGCGCGCGCAAAATTCAATTCTAGTCCCATAATAAAATTGAGATGAAATGTATGTGGCATCAAACTATTCGTAACGTGATTGGTCGAATATATCATAAGCATGAAAATATATGCAAAGTCTATAGTCAGACGCGCGTTTGCGCGCGTAAATTTGAATTCTAGTAAATTAAAAAACATAACAACGAAAATTTGTACGCCAAAATGAATGAACAGACGAACACTCATTTAGCCGAAAAATGTAAATAATTTTATATTTAGATTAGAAAATTTTTTTAATTAATTATTTTAATTAATTTTAAATTAGTTAATTTTATTTTAATTTACAAGAATGTATGAAAAACACTCAAATTTCATGCTTGTAAAGATGGACCATCTGAGAAAAATCTCCAACTTTTTGGATAACCAAATTTTCGGCCAAATCATTATTCGGATAGATGAGTATTCGGATGAATATACGTCGTAACGAACCTTTTTCGAAATCAAATTAATTTTAACTTTTGAGGAATATAAGATTTATATTTACTTATATTTGATAACCCGGTGTTTTATAATTTACAAAATTGTTTTTCGGCTGGTATTCTATTTAAGCTAATGTATTTTATAAACTTTGAATATAGCGGAATTTAAAATTTTCTAGAGTTTTGATAATTCGTAATGTTGTCGAACTGACTGGTTGACCGCAACCCTTTATTGTAGCCAACCTAGCGACTATACCACAGTTCTAATGATATAATGCATGCCAACAGGTTATTTATTTGGAAATAATAAACTACGCCATGTTGTTATGCATAAACGTTGCCGCCAATTTGTCGGATTGTATATTTTCTCTTAGTTTGTTTATGTGTTTATCATAATTAGTCACTTATACACTTGATTTTCGTTTCAATAGTTGTAAATTTATGTTTCATAAATTAGTAACATACATTTACTGAAACATTATATATTGATTTATTTTAAATTGAATCAAAATGTCGCGTCAATATTGTTTAATTTGTGCAAGTGATGAAGGAATTTTTCTTGATATTTATATCGAGGGTAAAAATTATCGCGAGAATATTGAAAAATGCTTATCGATAAAGGTAATATAAGTTATTTTATTATTTTCAGAATTTTTAAATATAATTATTTCACTTTTATTTTTCCCAGTCTTTTGATATTTCTTGTTGTGTACCTGTATGTTTCAAAATTTGGAGGTTAATTCATTTGAGACTAATACTTGTTAAGCAATATCGATTATAATTTACTTCATTCCATTAAGTAAATAAATATGTACATAAGCTTGTATTTAAATTTGTGTATGTTTCCGTAACATTATATATAACCATATTTGTTTTTTATTTATGTCCATGGATATAGATATATAGGTCATGACACTAAATATAAATTATTTTTTTACCATTTTTTCGCCAATCTTTATCAAACTCTGTGATCTACTTTACGAAATTTATATGAAATTTAAGAATTCATTTTTGGCATGTACATTTTATTTGTTTATTATTTTTACCGTAATGATATAAGTAATTGCAAATAAGATTGAATTTTGCTGTTTTTTTAATAATTTTTTTTTTTTTGTTAGAAATTGAAAAAAAAAGAGTAGAAGAACTTGATTATGGTAATAGTCGTTTTTTTTTTGTTAAAAACAACTCAATCAAAAATGAAAAATTATAATACTAGAATGGATCAGTACACAGCTCACTATTATTTTGTTTTATTTTGAAAAATGAATTATCTAAAATGAAAGTCATATGAGTATAATTTTTATTTTCTAGATAAAAAAAGGGACCATTCAATCTACTAAGATATGCCATAAATGTGCATATGAAATAGATCAGTGTTCTAAATTTGTTGATAAGTACAAAACATCACGGAGCTTAGCTAAAAAAACTCTAAAAAGGCGTGGAGTTTGTAATTTATGTATGGAAGTTGGTCCAAAAGGCTTAATTTTTTCACTTGATCATGACGATGATGGTGATAATGATGATGATAATACATTAGAAAATTCAAAGAAAAAATTACATTCTATATTTAATGAAGACGTAAGTACAAGTCTTTATATTTATTTATTTATTTATTTATCTATACAAATACCCACAACATCAGATAGTAGAAAAGTTCATTTAATAATCCATAACTGAAGTTAAAGTGAAATCTTGATAATTTATTTTACTTGAGCCCATTATTGTTGAGTTTCTTATGATGCTTATGATACTAATAAAATTGCACTAAGTGTTTGATGTCAATCATTGCGGATGCAGGAATATTCGAGATCTAATCTTAAGATTACGATCAACATACAGAGGATCAATTATTGCCATATGTTCACTCCACGGTATATTATAGCTATTATAGTAATAGAATAGTATCAAAGTCTGTAAACATTAAATCAGTAATAAGTTTCTTAATTATTAACATAAGAATTGACACAAGAACAGCAGATACAGGTTGGTTGAAGCCGAAAATTACAATTACACGATCATTGTAGTTGATTAGATCATTACAAATTAACCAAGTTTTGTACACGGAGTAGGTCTATAAAAAATTATGTATATTTGCTGTATGTTTGATCGATATTACTATATATATAGTAATACTAGCTGTTACCTGCCCGCTCCGCTGGGCACTTTATAGAATTGTATTTAGAGATCTAGACTTGAAATTCAATTGGAGTATTGTTTTGACTTGCACAGATTCCAAATTCTATCGGATTAGCCTGTACCTTTTATCCATGTCATCATTCTAGCGAATATCCATTGTAACTTTCAATGTGCAATCACTATAACATTCCCGTGGCTTTCTCCAAAAATAAATAATAATTTTTGGATTTACAATTTTAAATTTTGATTTTACGAAATCTCTTAAAATGAGTAGCTAAATTTCTTTTCCACATCTCAAGTGTTTAGAAAATGTATTCATTTTAATCTGTTACATTCCCGCGATCCCGTAATAAGAACAACTCATCGGTTATGTGATCAGCAAAAATAAAATGTATGCAAAATACTCAGTCCGTTGACTATATATCTACATGTAAAATTAAATTTTAGAAATCTTACAATAACTTTTTCACCGCTGCCAAAGAGACGATTGTTGTATGAAAATATAATTATTAAAAAAGGAAAATATTTTAATCCGTTGACCTTGGAGGCCATCCCTGTAATTACCTGTTTCTCTTGAGATTCTATGAAATTTTATATCTGTAGAACATATATTTGAAAATTATGAATTTTTTGATAACTATCACTCCCGTATTCCTATGTGAGTAATCTATTCACGAGATTAGTTTCGATTTTCAATACATAGAGAACTTCTTTAGGTTGAACCTCAATAAAACGAAAATCTCCAAAATTCGAAAAAAATTTTTTTTCCCTCCACTTGGGGCCCCCAAAACCTTCATTATTCTACTCAAAATTTCAACTCTTTATAAGTCGAAATAATCAATGACGCTCTATAAGCTATTTCGGTATATGTATATTTCCCCTCCATAACTTGAAATAATAAATTGGATCTCTGTACTTCCAACATGGCAATGTTTAAATTTACGGTTCCTTGATTTTTAATTCCCCGACAAAATATCCCCGTGACAAAATATTTCAACACATAAGCTTGTTATCGTGATGCTATGCGCTTTTCTCATGGATTTTGTGGGTGATTATTCAAAAATAGACCAACGTTATCGTGCTGTGCGCTTTTTTCACAGATTATGTGTGCACGATTTTCTCTCAATTTTTCTCATGATTTTATGCACAAATTTGATTATATGCACAATATAATGATTTTTTAATTATTTTAACCAATAATAATACATATATTTAAATTAAAACTTATTTATTAACATGATTTTTAACAGAAATTTTCAATTATTGTGATATTTTGTTCCGGGATATTTTGTCCGGGGATTGAAACGCCTGATTCCATTACTTAAATTAATTTGTTTTAATTGCAGTATTTTTATAAATAACAACTAAGATTATTATTTTTAGTTTATCACGGATGAGATGACTAATATTTCAATCTGTTTGGATTGTCGATATAATATGGATGTACTTTATGATCTCAAACGCATTTATGAACACTTCAAAAATCAGCCAGAGACCGATGAAGACGATAATTCCTTATCAGATTTACAAAAGGTTAAACATTAAATTTTTATTCAATATACATAAATTAATAATAAAAAAATTTTTAATTTAAAACATTTAACTTTCCGCTATGAAAATCAATTATTTTTTTTTTCAATTCGCAGATAAAAACCGACGTTATAAAACGTAAAACAACATCATCAAAATCTTTAAGAAGTTTAGAAGAAACATTGAATACTGAAAACAAATCCAGCGCAACAAAGAAAAAATCTAAAAAGTTAGCTTCATTTGTCACATCAAAATCCAATGAAAATAGTCGTGAATGCGATGAATGTCATGAAATAATTAAAGCTAGTGTTGATATGTATCGTTATCATCACTCGGGTAGTAGAGTTTGTAAAAATTGTTGGTCTAAAACCGATCCAAATGATATACCAGTAATGAAAAAACGAAAAATCCAGCAAAAATCAAATACCAATACTAAGCTATGCAGTGTTTTTCTTGAAGATATATTTTCCAATCCTACGAATAATAAGATCAAAAGTTTGATGGATAGAACTGATGATAGCGAGCAAATGAATGACATGTCTGACTGCAGTATGAGCGGAAAAAAGGCAAGAAAAAGTATACGGAATTCCCAATTAAAAACAAAAGACATTTCGAAGAAAGAAAAACCTTCAAAGATAGTGAAAGTTGCAACTAAAAAAGAAGTTAAAAATAATGAACTATCAAAAAAAAATAATCGAAAGAGTTGTTCGGAAAGCACTGAAGCCATCTCAGATATCAGTAATCGTGCTAAAGCAACAAAAAGTCGTTTAAAAGCATTGCAAAAGAAAAAACGTGAAATTTCACAAGCTAAAAGTGAAAATGTTGAAAAATCTCGATTCGAGGAACGTCATAAAAAATTGCGATTAACACGTCTCCGGAATCGTTCAAAAAATTCAAGTCCACCTTTGTCAACTATTGAAACTTCGAAACCTAAAAAAATGAAAAAAAATGAGGACCTGATCTCTAATGCTGATAGCGATTCTGAAAGCAGTCGACCATATACTTGTAACGTTTGTAGCACAGATTATGAAAATCGAGTAGAAGGTATGAAACATGAGTTAAGACACTCGAAAGAATTAGGAGTTGTTTTGGAAAAAGTTGGTGAGTCAGAAAGTAATGGAAATGATCAAATATCAAATGAAGACAAAGTTGATACATCTGTTTCTGAAGCTTCAAAAAATATTATCGAAAATACTCCTGATTTCAGTCCAATGATATCTGACAATGATGATAATAGCATTGGAATAAATATTAAAACAATTGATTACAAAATTAATGACACTGTAGAAGCAAACGCTTTAACTCCAGAAACAAAAATTGATGATTATTCGTCTGAAGATATTAGTAATAAATGTTTAGCGAAAGATGATATCAATAAGGATCAATCTCAAGACAGTGTCAATGAAAATCAATCCAATCAACCCAAAGATGTAAATGAAGGTAACTCTGAAGATATTATCAAAAAAAATTCGTCTCAAAATCATCATAATGAAGAATTAAACACAAAACAGGTCGATTATGATGAACAAAATGTTGTAGCTAGTGAACCAAGTTCCATTGCCGATGAAAGAAATGTCAATCTTGATGAAAAAACTGCTAATGTGGAAGAAGAAAATTATACAGCTAAAGAGTCACATTTTGACGGTAAGAAGATAGATATTAATGTTGATAACAATGACTGTAACGATTGTGAAATAAATGCAGATCTAAATGAAACAAATCAATCTTCTGAACATGAAATAAGTAACAATGAAAATAAATCTAAAAAAATTGAAACTGAATATATAGAGAAAGATAATAGTTTCAAAGATAACGATGCGATGAATGATGAATATTCTGTAAATAACGGAGAAGAAAGAGAAAGCAGCATTCAGCGACAAGAAGATCCAGACTGTTGTACCACCGAGAATCCCAATGAGTCGATCAGTGCATCCGACAAAAAAGATCAAGAGACAAGTTATTCAAATGAAAATTATGTTTCTACTACCACAGAAGAAAATGAAGATAGTCAAAGTAAAGAAGAAATAAATGAAACTAGCAGCATTAATACAGAAAAACAATTAAAATTAACAAGAGCTGAAAATGAACAGATGCTAATTGACGATAAGACAGAGTCGGAAAATAGGTCAGATGACTATGAAGATAATTTGGTAATAGACGAAAGGGTAGATAATTTAGAATCTTCGGTAAATATTCACAGTGAGGAAAGTAAAAGTGACAAAATTGATAAATTGCAAAAAATTATTGATGCAAGCTTTGGAAATTCACTTCAAGAGTAATTATACTCTTGATTAAACTTGTTTGTTTCAGCACAGTTTGAATTTTTGCACTGAAATAATTATAGAATCAATATTCATACTATTAACAATTAAATAATTAAAGTTAGAGTCATAAAAATTTGTTGAGTAATGACAAGCTTTTGGGCAATCCAGGCATTTTTTTTTCATTTTTACGATTTTAAATTATAAATTGTAAATAATTAATGTAAATAATCTAAAAAAATTCATTAATACTTGAAATACAATGGTGTAAATTATAGGATAGTTGGGGAGAAAAAAAAAAAAACGTTTAGAGGTACACGCGTTGCCTATGTTAATTCAAAACAATGAGATAGTTTCAATTAATTCTTTCAACTCAGTTTAACCCTTAATATTTATTATCAAAACATTAAAATTTTTGAAAATTTGTCCAGGTTCCCAAGTGGCACAAATTTTTATTTGTTAATGTTTTGTTGAATTTAAGTTAACGATTATTAATTTTTTAACTTCTTGTTGAGTGAAATCTACCAAAAAATCAACATTTTTTTTTTTTATGACGCTTGGGTTATAAAAATTTATGGTTTTCATATTCTTCTGTTTTCATTTTTAATTGATACTGACATTTATTAATTTAATAACCTAAAATGAATTCGAAATATATTTTTTCATAGCATAGTGAGTTATTTGTTTTATTTATTTGAAATTTTGATATCTTCGATATAACACTTCAGTTAACTCATATGTAACGCATGAACTTCTATAAAGTTTTTAGAACACATTTAACACATTTTTATAGTATGAAACTTGAATGTATAATAATATAAAAGTACAATAAAAAATCTTATATGAGTCATATATTATGTATAAGATGCAATATACAATCGTGTTCATTAATTTGAGTCGGTTTCTATGTTTAGGGACTTATTGCCAACCTTAAATTTGGAGGATTTTAAACTCTAAAATTTGAAAATAATAAATTTTTCTATTTGTAAATTAAGCTAAATGTAAAAAATAATAATTCTTGAATGTTAGAAACGTAAATAATGTCTAAAATGAATTAAATGTATCGTAAAAAAATATGAGAAATAAAAAAACAGTTATTTAAAAATACAGAAATTCGCAAATAAATTTATTTGCAAGCTCAGCAATTAAAAAAAAGCATCAATAAAATGTCACCAGTTTAAAAATTACCGAATTTTAAGAAATAATCATTAAAAATATTCCAAATTAAAAAATAAATAGTTGAAAAGCTTAAACTTCTAAACTTGAAAATTCGTAAAATCAGCCATTTCTAAAATTTGAAATTCGTAAAATCAGCCGATTCATGAAATAATTATAAGTTTATTTTAAGCGTAGCCACTCTATATAAATATAATTTTGAATATATTTATCTGTATAATGTAGTTTCACATAATTTTGACTATCAAAATTGAAAAATTTTGTTGTTGATGAAACAATTTTTTAAAAAATTTAATATAATAAATGGATTTATGAATTCTTCATTAAATATTTAAAAATTTTTATATTACTATTTTTCTTTTTATTTTGAAATTCAAAAATTCTAATTTTTTCAAAACTTAGATTCATATATTATTAATCTATATTTATATGGACATAATATAAATGAAAAAAAATTTACGCAATGATTGTCATTACAGAATAATTAAGCATTTAATAATTATGTTTAAACTATCGTTTTGTAAGATTTAATTTAAAAATATCTAATAAAGCTTTCGCATTAGTTAGTCGTAAGTTAATTTTCAGAATCATTTCTGTATTTGATTACATAGTTTTAATTTTAATATGGAACTTCCAAAATTGAAATTAAGGGTTGGCAATAAATCCCTAAACATAAAAATCGACTCAAATTAATGAACGCGATTGTATGTGTGTGTATTGTATATGTGTGGGTATGAATTTACAGATTAATATATCTGAAAGATTGAATTTAGTGTTATAAAACTGTTTCACTTATTTTTTCAACGTGTTTAATGGATTAAGATTTATATTTTTGAATCAGAAACTTTCCTTGTGTTAGTGTGTTGTATACATATAAATTCATATAAATACATTGAAAAAAAAAAAGAAAAAATTATCTTGGTCTAAGAGAAAAATTTCCAAAGCAAGAAATTCATTTTGAAAAATTTCACTGTTTCGAGTCAAGACAAAAAATTCATGCAAGTAAAATTTACTTGAGCCAAAAGAAATTTTTTAGGTCCACTATTTTTCTATTTAAATCAAGAGAATTTTTTTTTTTTTTGGTGTATGATATTGAATAAGTATAAACTGTACTCTATTAGAGTTAAATATTTAATAATACATTATTAAATCAAAAGATGATTTGACATTGTTATGTATTTTACAGTTGATTTTAACATATATGAGAAGAGCAATTAACTTACTGAGTTTAAAAAAAAAAATTTATTAACCAAAATTTTTATATTTTTCTATTTTGTATGTGACTAATTTCATAGATAAATGAGAAACATTTGCAGAATTTTTTATTTTTAGAAAAAATTAGTTTTCAAAGAATTTCTTTGTTGATTTACAGTAAAAAATATTTTTCTTGTTCGTATTCAAGAACAAGCTTTAAGAAACATAAGTTATCAATCGGAACAGTCTCTAAAATAAGACACTAGAATCCAATCAATTTTAATTAAAATAATTAAATTTTACATCATATTATGAGTACTGAAGTCAAAACATCGAAGATAAATTAACCCTCTTTCTATTATATAACGTTCTTATTATTTAATCTTCACGAATGATGTGTGCAATAAAAAACATTTTAAATAACTGACTCGGAGTATATAAGTATCAACTAATGGAAATAACAATATATTTAGTTACACTACATTAAACGTCTATTCTTCAATTTTACCTTCTTTAGAATTTAATATCCAACATTTTAAATGTTTAAGAATCAAGAATCTAATCTTAAACATCTTAACTTTTCTTCTTATTTCTATTTTTACTTATTCCTTCTTTAACCTGTTGAGGTCACACTTCTTAAAAATAACGTAGTGGTCATACTGGGTCTAGTTGACCCCATGCACGGAAAAATTGTTGGCACAGAAAAAAAGAAAATTATTTGAACTGAATAAGATTTATTTGAGCCAAAGATATCGTATACTTGGATATGGCCAAATAAATATTTATTTGTGAGAAATATACGATATATTTGAGCTATTTAATTGCGTCAAATAAGTGATTTATTTGTTGTCAAGATATGATTTATTTGTGGTAAATAAATGATAGTTGACGCAAATAATGCATATTTTAAAATATTAAAAATTAATTGTACATATTTTTAGGTTATTATAG